ACACATGCCTTTGTTTCGATTTCGAATCTTCTTGTGTTTCCTTTAGTTGAAGGATTATGAGCAGATCTTGATAAAATAAAGCTTAAACATTTTTTGCGAATATTTCTTGAACCCCGGTAAGAAAAATAACAAAAGAGGAAAAGTTACCGCTAAATTGCCTTGTTATTATTTAAAATACACAAAACTCCAAAAATACGAACAAAACTGTTCAATTTAATTTTTGTGTACTAACCTAGCCCGAACAAAATGAGGCATGTTTGACGAGGCGTGACAACACAGGTATGTATGTACTTTACTTGTGCTTCATCGAGACGTTAATATTTTTGAAAATAATAATCTCGCCAGAGATGCATTTCAATGGCAAATCTGCGATTCGAGAAACCACTGACACTTCTAACATTCGCTTATTATTTTGACTTGACAAGGTTATGTCACAAGCTCCGCGGCGTGGATGCCAAGTCGTGCAAAAAAGTAACCTACTGCAATAAAGTACTGTCTATGAATACGAATCATCTGTTTGAAACTCTTCTCATGTTAGCTGCTCATAAAAATATAAAAAAAATTAATAGAATAAAAAATCTATGTCAAGCGTTGAAGTTTGGCAAAACAGCGTCAGTTTTATAACTACAAAACCGTAAAAAAATGGGATACGAATTTGCAGCATGTCGCTATAGATTCATAAATTAAAAAAAACACTATAACTTGCCTAAAACAGATTTTCCCGTGAGCGAAAAATGAATTAGCAAATTAATTAAGTCCTTCACTTTAACTTGGTTGTTCGATGGAATGTTTATATACTATTAAAAAGAGGCGTCAAACTTCCTTGGAAAAAAAAGAAGTTAATGCACAGAAAAACTCGTGTAACTTTCCACGGACTGATTTATTAGGTAAAATTCACGCGGATGATGAACGAACACTTCCATGAAAAGCGGATCATAAAAGTGTACGAAGTAAAAATAAACAAGTGAACAAGATGTGTGGACTGGCAATGAAACGTTGGAGACTGTTTAATCTGTAACGGCTAATATGTGTGTGAGAATAATGATTAAAAGATAGTCGTATGCTCCCATAGTATATTTTAGTGTTACAATATTACGAATGCACATTCAAAACCCAACGCTGGGTACGATATTATTTTAATTTCTTGTAAGTTTCTTCACTGATCCCAGATATCATATCAACGTCCGGTTCAACTTATATGGTTCCACGAGAAAAAGTGTTTAAATTAAAAATGATGCTAACTTTAAGTGTCTACAGAAGATGATTCATGAATGCAGGCGACCTCGAATAAAGGTAAATTCATTTTCGCAGACTTTATAGTTCCTACTTCAAAAGTTCAATTTTAAGGAAAAAACTAGCTGGTGGAACTTGCTATGCCGTTTTAGCCGGCTAACGGAATTCCCTGCCCGGACCCAGTGGCGTGGCGTGAATTGCGATATATCGATTGTTATGCCATTTAAACCTATGAAAAAAGATCGATTATCAGGGTGTTCGCAGCGAACACCTTAGTAATCGATTCTTTACCATAGCTTCAAATGGCGAGATATCGATAATCGATTATTCACGCCACGCCACTGCCCGGACCTCCTTAGGAATGCAAGAAACTCGCGCGGGGAAACTGGACCACATTTTGCAACGAAGAACTACAATTTCAAGCTCATCCATAAACGCGCCTATATGCACAGGGAAACTTATGGTACAAATGCTGTTTCTAACGTGAACCAGAAATCGTAGTTCCCGATTGCAAAATACAGTTCAGGTAAAAACAGCAGCGACGAAGGAGGTCCCTTGCAATCGCCTGATTCCCCTTCAATTGGGCGAATAGGCAAGAACATCTCCTAAACGTTAAAATAGTCGCATCCTTTGAAAGTGATCTATACCTCAAACTGTTATCATACGGATTTTACGACCCGGCTATGGTTCGTATTCGATACATCAAAAAGGTGAGCTTGTACCGATTTCGATTGGTTTGACTTGCCTCAAAAGTCCATTGGGAAATCTGAGGGAGCGTGTTTTTTGTGATGGATTTTTGATTCTTATGAGTGCCAAATGGCAATGTAAAGTGATATTGTTAGGAGTTTTCTCACCTTCAGCTTTTTCAACTTCAGTCCTATAATTTTTGTTTAAGGTTATGTTCTATTGTTTTAAACCATCGATGCATCGAATCACCATCGAATACGATCCATCGAAATGTTGGACTTCTGTCTGACTTCACGTAAGTCTTTTAATTTGCCTCAACAGGGTGTCTACTAAAACAGGCTGGCCAAGAATCAGTACTTTTACAGTACGTTTTCAGTGCCTTCCCAAGAAATTCAGTACCTCCTCAACAAGAAAATTCAGTACTTTTTCACTACATCCATAAGACGAATTTCGAAAAATTTCAAAAATTAGAATTTCTCGCTCAAATTGCGACCAAAATGACAAAAAAATTCGTAAAATTCCGGACTTACATGCAGAATTTCCGCACTTTTCAGTACTTCTGAACCGCCCTTAAAAATGAGTACTATTTCCGGACTTGTAGACATCCTGTTCAATGGTGTGTCGATCTAAAATAGATCTCCTTTTCCCTCAAACAAAGGCCGAGAATTGAGACCCAGAAAATCAAAGTATGCAAGAAAACGCCGCTTTTTCATCCGCTCCAAAACAAGCTGTTTTTCACCGTCTGTAAACAAATTTTTAATCGCACACACTGGAAAACATCGAAAATGTCTCGGAGGCGACTTTGTTCGAACGTTTCCCTTTCTCCTTTTATTTACGTGACTTTGATCAAATAATATTTGCGAGCGTTTCCGGTTGGACCGAAATTTTCTCGGGTCAAAATTTGGTCGAGCGCCAGCTGGGCGGATTCTTCGACGGGTCACGGTGGTTTGTTGACAAAGAAGCGCGGGAATTCGGATTCGACCGTGAACTTCGCTGAAAAAACACGCGAGAAGTACTGCCGTGCTGAGGAAAAACGCCGTATGAACCTTTAGGCGTTGCTAAATTTCTTTCAGTAAATCACGAATTTTCGGTAAAATTTGAAAATATTTTTCCTCCAATTTTTCAGCAAATTTCTTTCGCGATTTCGCCTAACGTTATCAAAAATTTCAAGGAAAAATATTCATAGCTTTCCTAAAAATCGAACATTTCATCGAAGGAAATTTGGCAACTCTCGAATGTTCATACGGCGTTTTTCCTTAGCACGGCAGAGTTGACAAAGATCTTCCGTAAATCGGTGAAAGGTTGTCGCGCGGAGAAGAGAGTGTCTCTCTTTCCGATCATTTGCACTATTTATGTTAAAAAGAACTATGTGCATTGGGATTGCGTGTGACATAGTTCCTTTTAGCATAAATACGTCAATTTTGTCGCCGCTCTAACGTAAGGGCGTACCTCAATATCCACGTGAACCCTGTTTTACAAATAACTCCATATTTTCAGAGGCTTATGCGGAAATCGAGATATGTCCTTACGCCAAAGGAACGACGATTTAGCAGTTGTTATTTGTTACTGAAATCAAAATATCACGCATTTATGATGCTACATAAGTAGCTTAATAAACGTGTCAGCATTTCGTAGTGGCAACATATTCACTCACATCCTACGGCTTTCTGTGAAAGGGATTTGATTTATTTGCCCAAACGTTCGCGGAAATAGTAATCTCAGTTCACACAAACTGAAAATTGAGTTTTTTATACTGAAGCGTGGAAGAGATTTCTCCGATCACGCTCAAAAATTAAACCTACCGAAGTTAAGTTGGTTCCAAGTTAGCAGTGTAGGTAAAGCCTCGTTAAGTTCTGATAAATTATGTTAAGGCGACGAAAATGCTGGATTAGAATGCACTGAAAAAAAATTCTCGGCGTTTTTACCAAGGTCCGTTGGTACCTTTACCACCTCACTTTTTTTTTTACCAATTATTGGTAATTTTACCAAGACAGACTGGTAAACTTACCTAAAAACCGGTATTTTTACTGTTTTTTTCAGGTAAGAATACCACTTTTATTGGTAATCAATTCCCGGTAACTTTGCCATTTTATCTCGGTAATTCTACCACAGTCGATAAAAAATATTGGCGTTTTTACCAGGGTCTAGAAAATTACCGAGAAAGTTCAATAATTTTACCGAGATTTCTCGGTAAAATTACTAATTCCATAAATGGTAATTTTACCAAGAAAAAATTGGGATCAAATAGAACCCTGAATTCTTGGTAATTTTACCCTTTTCTTACCCAGTAAATACACCGAGATTTTTTTTTCAGTGTGCAACTTAACATCTATTGCTCAACTGAAAAGTTGGTGGGATTCTTCCGCGGAAAATTCCGTAGAACATTTTCCTAGGTGTAAAGGCACAAACATAACTCGATCCTGGGTCTTTCGGTATCATTGTCCTCATTTTCATGCAAAGAACTACATCGAAAAACGTATCAATTGGGAATCTTGCATAGCCAATTTTGCAGTGCTCCCGTTCCATGTCCGTCAAAAGTTCCGGGATTCGGAACTTTTTTGTTCCAATTTCTCTCACTTTATAACCGTCAAAAGTTCTGGGACTCCTTCTAGATTTTTTCAGAAGTTCCGAGAAAGTTCCGGAAAATGCAAAAGATCCGGAATATTTTGGGAATTTTAAGAGTTCCGGGAAAAATTCAGGAAAGTCTCATCTACAATCTCATGAGAATACCGGACCCTCAAGTGATAATTGACTCCAAAACCATCTTAGCAAGAACTGAAATCGAACTATACCAGGAACTAGAATCCCACATAATCAGTAATCAAATCTCATGTTAAACTTCCCATCATTTAGCGGTGGCTGTTTGTCTGCACGACTAAGGCCAATGAACTATATCTAGAGTGCGCAAGCTCTCAAAAAAAAAATAAAAAATTAAAAAAAAAAATAAAAAAAAAAATAAAAAAAAAAATAAAAAAAAAAGTTCCGGAAATTGAGATTGGTTCCGGAAAATGGGAGCACTGCAATTTTGGCCAAATCCATGTCCGTAAAGTGTGAAAACCAAAAACTATGGTAAAACTTACCGAAAAGCGAGTGCCGAAAGGGTCGGCTGGAGCTGTAATGCTCCGCTTGAACTGCCGGTTGATCCGGTTTGGTGGAGGTGACATCGCGTGCATCTTGATTTCCCTGCAGGTAAAAAAAAAATGGATAAAATATGAATTGCATCGTTAATGACTTGATTTAGACTTTAGTAGGTCTATTAATTCTAAAGATATGCCAAACTGAGTTGACTTTCATGGAGGATACTCGTTCAAGAATGGCATTCAGCGCGACAGAAGACTCATTAATCTCTCCTTAAAACACAATGGGCCTGTTGCATGGCCGGATTAAGGGGGTGGCCACATGGGCCGCGGCCCATGGCGGCAAAATGTAGGGGGCGGCAAATTTTGCAATCTTTTTGAATGTAGGTATATAAAAAAATAAGAAAAAATCGGATTCAGAGAATAAATTACAAACGAGAAAATGCGACAATATCTCTCATTTTCTTAGAGTAGAAGTATATTAAACATTTAATGTTGTCGTCTTTCGGTGATACAGAAGACAACACCTTTAATTAGTCGAGTTAAGAGAGACACCAAATACGCAATTTGACCTTGAACGGAGCGGCGCAGAGAGGAATGATGACGAGGACTGAGTTGAAAAGGAGAAGCCATCGGCGCGGTGGTCGGTATGAAACGCATAGCGCCAAAAAGACTGTATGAATATTTCACGCATTGCGTCAAACACACTGCGGTCAGCAGCAGTCGGCGTGAAACGCATAGCGCCTACAAGACTTCATGAATACTTCACGCATTGCGCCAAACCCATGAATGGTCGGCGTGGCGCAGCGGCAGGAGTTAAAATTATTAAACCATATTTACGCTTGTTCTTTCATAATTTTTTCGTTCGTTTGTTATGAATAGAAGGCCTTGTCCAAACAGGGGTGGGTTTACGGAACTCAACTTTCTCGTAAAGCTCCGTGAACTTTTGTTGGTGGTGACAGGGCTTTCACAAAAAATGAGCCCAACACGAACACGTCTCATACACCCCTCCCCTACCGGCACGTTCACTTAACAAATTAGAAGGGGGCGGAAAATTACAGGCGGCCCATGGGCGGCAAGTAGGTAAATCCGGCCCTGGCCTGTTGCAAACTTTTGCTAGAGCAAAAATAAGAGTTGCTACTATCAGTAATTATCTCAAAAGCACGATGAGCGCGTTGGCAAAGTTTGAAATGCACTCCTAACTTCACAATCTGCGTGAGAAATTTGCGTTTTTTGAGCTTCCCGCTTCAAAAACGATACTACAGGGTGTCTGCTAAAACCAGCTGACCAAAAATCAGTACTTTTACAGCACTTTTTAAGTACTTTCCCAAGAAATTCAGTACCTCCTCAACAGAAAAATTCAGTGCTTTTTCGGTACCCCCAATTGACGGACCTTCTTGCAAAATTCCGCACTTTTCCAGCACTTCCGGACCGCCCGCTAAAACTCAGTGCTATTTCCGGACTTTCCGGAAATTCCGGACTTTTAGACACCCCGTACTACGGCAGGGGCACAGTTGAACATTTCATTAGAGGTGCTGTTCTATCCAACCCCTGTGCACTAGGATATTACACAATATTCCACATGGCTGACACCAATCCGCCAAAACACGTGTGCCTGGACGAGATTCTAACCATTTTTTAACAACCCAGCGTGTTTACATTCACGATTTCTTCGCGTTGATAAAGATCCGTTTTGGTCTTGTGCTCCCGATTCCGATTTGCGTGCGGAAGCGAGAATTTGGAAAATGCGATAGGGACGTCGCAAATTGTGTATTTAAAAATGGATTTTAGGCTTTTCTGCTATGCTCAATGGAAAATAAGTCATGGTTGCATCCCTAGTGTGGAACAGACAAATTAATTTTGTTGTTGTTTCAAATTGAAACCACCACATAAGATACGACAGAGAGAGACGTTGCAGTCTCACATACATATAAATTAATAGCTCCACACGAGTGACCGAGATTTCAGTTTGAGGACACGCCGACCGGGATTCGAACATGGAACCTTCGGTGAGACAAGGCTTACATAAATATACGAATTCAGTTTCTCCGTAGCTGACAACACAAACAAAAACTGACTGACTGCATGTCACAGTAATACTGAATAGTATATATTAGTATACACTGAAAAAAACTCTGGCCGTGGAAGTTTCCGAAGTTCTGTGAGGGAGGCCGAAAGTTTCGGGCGGAGCATCTGGGGCATTCAAAGCTACGGTTCCAGCACCCGGGACTTTCAGCCTCCGGGCCCGGAATGGGCGGTATATGGCACGTAATTTTTTTCCAGTGCAGTATTAACATGTAACATTGAGTCCATCATTTATTTTAAATAAAATTTAATTTTGCATTCAGAATGTGGTCGCTAAAGTTTCGGTTTGAAATTCTCTAACTTTTTCAGGTTTTCCCCGATCAATTTCGAGAGAATTCCCTGACCTAAGCAACTATAGTGTATGATAACTAATATTTTTCAGATTCATTAGACGACTAGGGGAAAAGCTAGACGTTACACGCGGTGCGACTTTCGTAGCGAGTTGCTGATTCCTAAAACACAATTTTTTTCAGGTTTGGGTAACGTATAGTTCAGTTAGGTAGGGAAAGGTTGGGGAAAGTTAAGTTCAGTAAAAGTGGATTAGGCCTTTTGAGGTAAAGTTGGGTGACGCTAAGTTAGGTTAAGTTAAAGTAGAGTCCCTTTATACTGAGAGTTAAGACCAACCCCCCCCCCCTCATGGAGTCAAAAACGGGAATAAAGATTACACAAATTGAAAGTTTTTCGTAATCTTTGATCAGCTCATTCTTAAACTCCTTTCTCCGTCCCTTCTCTCATTCCGTCTGTTCCTTGCTGAACCCGTGATTCCCCGGTCCATTCCAGATTATAATCTTTGCATCTGGTGAAAATGTAATGTTTATTCCCGTTTGTGACACTGTGGAGGCCTAAAATACGGGAACCAATCAGAAATGGATTCACATTGTCTCAACTCTCAGTATAAATGGACTCTAGGTTGTTCAGTAAAAGTGGATTAGGTCTTTTGAGGTAAAGTTGGGTGACGCCGAGTTGAGTCCCTTTATGCTGAGAGTTAATACACCCCCCCCCCCATAATTTTTGTGTGTGAATAACACAAAAAAACAAGATTTGAAATTTGAAAGATGTTGTAGAGGGAAGTTTTAAGTTTCGTTGACATCGTGATCATCTTTCATGACACCGTGCTACGTAATCTCCCCGATCACCAGAAGGATCACTCATCGAACGTTGCAAAAGGTCTCGCGGAGTTATTTTTAAAAAAACAAGCAGTTACGCGCGCACTGGCGCCACTCCAATGGCGGAGACAATCGTATCATCGCGCGAACGCTAACTGGATCACGGATTACCCATTACAGTTAGCCGGAAAAATATCAGACGGGGCGCGATGCATGCGAAGAGAAATGCGAAAGTTGCGAGGCGCCCCGCTCCGGAAAGAGAACAATTTTCACATTTTCTTAATTTTTCGTCACGGTGGCGCTCGCTCGCTCGGCAGATGCACTTCCAACAATTTTGTTGGCATAGGTAACGCGTGCGTTACCGCGGGTCGCGCATTCATTACGATCCTCCGCGGATTAAAATTGGCTTGCGAAAATAAGCATATATCTTGACTTCTCAACGTGAGGAGAATTATTTAATGGTCGCTGTTGAAAAATGTAGAGCAGGGTTCATCGAGTCCCGGGGAAAAGAACGTAACTAATTTCCAATGTTGCAACATTTCCATTTACACATTGTATTTATTCTGAGAGATGGAGATGTTGCATGTGTGAGGGATTTGCGATTTGACTGTTGATTCTTATGCAAAAGTTTGCGGGAGACACGACGGTGCCACTGGTTTTCTCTGAAATCAACTCCGAAGCTCAAAAAAAGCTCTCAAAGTGAGGCCAAAATGGAGGGGATATCCCACCCTACCCTGAGAGTCCACCTCTACATCAAGATAAACTCTCCATGCAAAGATAAGGAGCAAATACATTAGCAGGGTTGCCGTGTTTTCAGTTTTAGTGTCCCCAAATAAAGTGGCAGACTTGTCAATGTATTTGCTCCCTATCTTTGCATGGAGAGTTTGTCTTGATGTAGAGGGGGACTCTCAGGATAGCGTGGGATATCCCTTCCATTTTGGCCTCAACTCGAGAGCTTTTTTTGAGCTTGGGAGATGATTTTAGAGAAAACCAGTGGCAGCATCGTGTTTCTCGCAAACTTTTGCATAAGAATCAACGATCAAATCGCAAATTCCTCACACATGCAACATCTCCATTGAAAGGTAAATCGTGCAGGTTTATCGCAATTTGATGAGATTATTGCTTTGATTCGGTTTTAGGATCAAGCCACGTCTAGGTCGTTTCGTGTTGGATCTCTATGTTTGAGATGATTCATCATTATTTCTGGCGTGATCTAGCTGACAAGCGATGCATCCCATAGATTTAGTGAAAAATCAGCATACTTCTTCATTGATCGAGATTCTGATCGGTCACAAAGCCCGAGAACCGATCGCAACAGCGTCAGCTTGGGTTCAAGTTAGGTCACGCAACTAAACCAACTCCACGCAACTTAGACGTGGCCTCTCAGGGTAGGGTGGGATATCCCCTCCATTTTGGCCTCAACTTGAGAGCTTTTTTTGAGCTTGGGAGTTGATTTCAGAGGAAACCAGTGGCACCATCGTGTTCCTCACGAACTTTTACATGAGATTCAACGGTCAAATCGCAAATTCCTCACACATAACATCTCCATTGCAGGGCGCAAGGTTGCCACAGAATTTGTAAATGAAATTCCGGAAAATGAAATCTGGCAAAATTGAAATGTGGTTACGTTTCTTCGTGGGAGAAACGACGTTTTATAGACGGCCAATTGGACTCCATTTAGCAAAAAGGAACCAGCGCGAATACAGTATTGTAAAAATGTTGCTTCTTCATAATTATCTAAAAATGTTTCCCAGAATAGCAAGTAATTACTGCTTCCCACCAAAAAATCGTTGATTTTAAAGGAAAATGATTGTGTAAATTTTAATACCGTGCGTAGATTAAGTATGTTTTCAAATCATTTTAATCCCGCTGGATCCTTTTTGCTAAATGCGATCCAATTGCTACCGAACGGTAT